CCCCCAAAGTCAAAGGTCAACACCCAGTCTTCATCTTACTTGATTTAATAGCAACAACGGACAAGAGAACTTTCTCCAACCCGAAGCACTTCCCAAGATACCACAGTGCCCTGGTTCTCTTCCCGCTTCACACGCTGCCCCCTCATAGTCCCAAGGTCTCCAGGGCTCAGCCGTGGGACCTCTCTTCTCCTCCATAATTCCCTGCCCCCGCGCCCCCGCCACCCTTGGCCATTTCATCCAGGTTCACGGCTTCAAAATACATCTGGAAGCTGTCAGCCCTCAAATACAGTCCACCCTCATGACACACGGGTTCTGTACTTGTGTAAATTTGCCTCCTTGCTAAAATTTGTAGCCGCCAAATCAATGCTTGCCATGCCTTTGCAGTCACTTATGGACATGAGCAGAGAGGCTCTGGCTGAGTTTCTAAGGCGCACTTTCCCTTGTTTGATCTCAAACAAGGCGACACTCTACCCTCCTGTTTAGACTCTCACGTTATAAACAAGTATCATTTTCATGGTCTAGTTAGCGTCAGGTTTTTCACATTTCTGCACATTTTGTAGATTCATGGTTTAAAACGGCCCCCAAGCGCAGTGATGAAGTGCCGTCTAGTGTTCCCGGCACAAGAAAGTGGAGATGTGCTTATAGAGAAAATATGTAGCTAGAGAAGCTTCCTTTAGGCATAAATTATGGGGCTGTTGACCATGAGCTCAACATTCATGAATCGAGACTATATATTAAATAAGGTGTCACTGAACAGAAATACACGTAAAACAATGTCAGGCATCAATCAGTAGATGAAAATGAGAGGACCAGAGGCTCATGAGGAATCTGACCCTGATCTCCCCTGGGAACAGTGGGTCAGTATTTACTAGTTCAGGGTCAAGGTGATGTTACAGAACATCATTACTGTGCATAATGAGAATCGATTGTATCTTGTTGCAGACCAGATCTCTCCCCAGAACTCCAGACTTGTGTTCCAACTGCCTTCTTGACCTTGCAAACTTTAACAAATCAAAATCTGAGCCCCTGGTAATATTTCTGCAACCTGCTCTTTCCACAGACTTTTACTTCTCAAGTAAGGGAAACTGCACCCTTCCAGGGGCTCAGGCCAAAAAGACCTTAGAATTATCATTGATTTCTCTGTCTCTAAAACCCTACTTTTAGTTTTTCAGAAGATCTCCATGGTATTACCTTCAAATTTTATCTGGAATCTGACAACTTCTCACTACGTCCCCTCTGCCAACCTAGCTCAGACCCCACCATTTCTCACTTGGATAATTCCAGAGCCTTCTAACTGGTCTCCCTCCTTCCACCCTGGCCCTGCACGCTGGCATCTCTCCTAATCCCCACCTGTCTCCTAGAAGTATCCTGGTAAGAGTCAGATCATGCCATGCCTTGCCTCAGAACCCTCCCATGCCTCCCCCAACCCTGAGTAAAAGCCATACTCTTGATAAAGACTTCTAAGTCCTGGTCTGCACATGTTCTGCCTGTTCCTTCTCTGACTTCACCTTCTACTGCTCTCCTCTTTGCTCACCCTGCTCCTGTTGCCCCCCCTCCCCCACATACCCCTGCCTCAGGGCCTTTGCACCATCCTTGGAATGCTCTTCTTCCAAATAACAATATGGCCAGCGACTTCACTTCTATCAAATCTTGACCTCTTAGTGTAGGCTGCCTTGATGACTTTATTTAAAATTGTAACCCCCTACACACACACACACACACACACACACACACACACACACCCTATTCTCTTTCCTGCTTTATTTTTCTCCATAGTACTTATCAATTTAAGATATTAAGTAATAGACTTAGCTGTTTGCATACAGTCTGTCTCCCTCTCACTCAAATGTAAGCACCTTGATTGAGGGCAGCGACTTTTATCTGTTTTTCTTTTCCTTTCTACTGATGCATCCCCAGTACCTAGAATAGCAGGTAGGCACTAAATAAATAATCCTTAAGTGATAAATAATGTAGCACCTACCAGACATTATTCAACCTGCCTGTTTGCCCTCTGTCTTTCACAATACTGTGAACATTTTGAAGTCAGAAACACTGTCCCTACATATTCATATTCCTAACACCAAACCACTGAGCATGGCACATAACAGGAATTTAGTAAATGCATGCTGAATGACTGGAAGAAGAGAAGAGAGAGAAAAATGCTAATTTTCATCATGAACCTTGGGTTTTTACCAATTTAACAAACGTCTGTGCAGAGATGAATAAGATAATCCCCCCTGTAGAAAAACCTGCAGTGCAGTGGGAAAGAGACACTGATACTTATGGACCCTGACACAATGTAGTCAGAGCCATGGTGAAAAAGTGGTCAGGAAAGGTCAGGAAAAGAACTAGGATGACAAAAGAGAGAATGGGTGTTGGGAAAGCAGCCCAAAGGGGGCAACAGGTAAGGTGGGTTTTGATGGATGAACAGGAGTTTGCCATGCAGCCTGGGTGGGGGTTGGGGGGTGGGGAGGAAACAGCCCAAACTCTGCTGCTCACTGCCCAAGGTATAGGTCTACAAGGTATGAGCTGCCCAATGTAGCCCCTTCCTTGCTCTAAGAGGACTCCCCAGGCATCTCAGTGCTCAACAAATATGAATGATCGGAACAGCTACATTCCCACAGAGTTCCTCTCTCCCTCCTCACTCAAAGAAAATTCCATATTTGACAATGGGATTACTTGACAGCTCCACTTGCCACCCTTTAGGGTAGCAACATTAAGGGCCACATCTACACATTGTTCCCAGTTCCCAGACTCATCAGCATCTGACATCTAAACAGAACCAGACCACAGGGATGACAGCCGCTTAGAAACCCAGAGAAAGTGCCGTTCCTGGGTTTTGCCAAGGCACAAAGAAGCAAAAACCCATTTGGAAAGTGCTAGAGCTTTCCAGTGTCAGAGCCCAATAGGAGAACAGTGTGATGCATATGTTAGTATGGACACTTGTGTCAGAACATCTGCCCTGCAGCCTGAGAGTCAACTTCTTGCAGGGGGAAGCTGGCGAGTCCCAGCAGCTCCTTGGCCCGGCGGGGGCCAGGGCCGTGGACTGCGCTGCAGACAGCAAAGCCATCCTGGCAAGAAGACCAGACACCATGACCTCACGGGCCTTTGCATTTCCTGATTCACCTGCTGAAACAGGCTTTTCTCCTCTGTGTCTTTGAAGAGAAAGGAGGAGAAGCACATCTCATTCATTTTTATTTGCCGCTTGCCTGGAGGCTTGGACTGAACTGGAGAAATCCCACATACACACCGCACGCACTCCTGCTCCCACCCCCCCCGCCCCCAGGGCACATGCGTGCAGCTCCCACGTGCAGCGATTCTAAGTCCCTCCCGTTGGGGTCCAGCCGGGTCCTGCTGCATCACTTCACCAGCCCAGAACTGAGAACGCGCATGGCGCCATGCATCTCATCCAGGCCAAGGTTGTGCTGGCTGGCTTCTCTGTGAGCAGAACCACCTCCCCGTCTCTGTCCAGCGCACACACCAACCAGGGACACGGTCCCTGCCCGTGACGCTCACACCGCCTTTATCTCCTCCTGAGTCTGTTGCTTCCCTTCACGTTATTCTCCGTTCCCCTTGGCCAGCTCTTCTCTCCTGTCCTTCGGGCACCTTTAAATATGAGAGGGTTGTGATCTAACACCCACGTTATGCCAGCACTCGAAGGGCCGAGAAGGGACCCGGAGGTCATTTGGAGTTTCCCACAATGCACTGGGCCCCAGGCTCATGAGGTTTGAGGCCTGCTGACCTCAGCCTGGCCTGAGAAGGCCATATGATTGTCCCTCAAACCAAACAGGAATGATGCCATTCATAGAACATTCCCTCCTCTCTTTCAGGCGGGCTGCCTATTCTCATGAGGAAAAGCCATCCTGTTGTGTATGACGAGAATTCAGCCTTGGTCTCCGTTTTTCAAAGTCTTTTCCAACTCCCTTTCCCCCTGCTCTCAGACATTCCCAGCTTGTATCCTCTCCCCAGACTTTTCCCACTTAGGGCTTTGACACCAAGCTGATGCCTCCACCTGGGACACTCTGTCCCCTCACAGCCCCAAGGCCGGATGCTTCTCCACATGCAGGTGAATACCCCAGTCTCGTTCCTGTTGCCCTTAGCCGTCCTAATCCCCCCAGCGCCTTGCCACTCTATTGCAAGCTCCCATTTTATCTTCTTCATTTTTTTCCCCTTTTATTTTCTTCATTTTCCACTTACCGTGGCCTGAAACAACCCCATTCTTCGCATCTTTGTCTGGTGTCTGTCACTCCCAACTAAAATGTGAACTCCATGAGGGCAGGCGCCCCGTGTGTCTCATGCACGGCCTTCACCCTCATGCCTAGAACAGCTGCTGGTACATAGTAGGCACCTTAGTATACATTTGCTACATGAGTGAATACATTTGTGTATATCAAAGTCTCGAAAACCACCAAGAATGCCCATGGCCTTTCTCCAGGTCCCCAGAAGACAGAAGGCGCTTCTCAGCATGCACGTGTTCAGCTCTGCCACAGCCTTTTCTGCATTCTCAATGTTTGGTACAAAGAATGTGGGGTTCTGATTTTAGGAAAAACTTTAGTTCTTGGCTTCGCCAGTACCGATAGGGACTTCAAGAGTGACTTCGTCAAGGTATGAAGTAGGTTCCTCCTATCGATATTCTCTTTCTGGTCGCTGCTATGTCAACATTTTACATGTTCTACTTGTGTCTGCACCTCATCATATCTTAGCACCTCACTGTAAATCATTTGAAAACACGGACATGTATGCCATATTTCTGGCATCAGAACCCGGGCATTCATCCAAATCAACTCCAGGCCTCCACTCAGGCCCACACCCAAATTAGACAGGATTTCTCCCCAACTATTAAAAGGTTTCAGGGGAAACTGCTTCTCTTCTAACTCATTCCAATGTCTCTCAGCCTTTTTATTCTCCCCTCGAGGGGAACGAAGACAGTTGTGATCCTGCGCCAGGCTCAGGTGCTTTAAGACAGACAAATTGGACCCGAACACACACACTGCGCTTACCAACATAGCCCGGGGTCCCACAGGCTGTGGACATCACATCTCCTTTGCCCTCCATTTTTGACAATCCAAAGTCACTGATCATTATTTTGGATTCCTCATCTTGACTGTAGTACAACAGATTTTCAGGCTGGAAGGAAAATAAGAAAAAAAATGGACAAAGTGTGTTTAAAGCTGGCTTCATTGTGGGAGACTCACCAAGCCATGAAATCTTGTTTTTTTTTTTTAATTTAAATTCAATTAGCCAACATATAGTATATCATTAGTTTCAGATGTAGTGTTCAATAATTCATCTGTTGCATATAAAACCCAGTGCTCATCACATCACGTGCCCTCCTTAATGCCCATTACCCAATTACCCCATCCCCCAACCATCTCCCCCCCAGCAACCCTCAGTTTGTTTCCCATAGTTAAGAGTCTCTCATGGTTTTTCTCCCTCTCTGATTTCTTTCCACTCAGTTTTCCCTCCCTTCCCCTATGATCCTCTGCACTGCTTCTTATATTCCACATATAAGTGAAACCATATGATAATTGCCTTTCTCTGATTGACTTATTTCACTTTTTAGCATAATACCCTCCAGTTCCATCCACATTGATGCAAATTGTAAGTATTCATCATTTCTGATCAAGCCACACAATCTAATCACAGTTTAAGAACATGCTTGACCTTCGGACATAGTAAATGCATTAAGAAAAGCAGTGTTTAGTAAGAGCGATGTGGAGGACCCTGCACAGTATTGGACACTTAGAGGTTTTCAGGAAATGTGATTCCCTTTCCCTTATCAGTACTTTGTCTTCTTCACAAAAGTGAACCTTATATTGGGGAAGCCTTGCATACCTCTCAGACTTGTCAGTTTATTTCTTGGGCTGAGAGAGGGGGGATCCCCAGAAATGACATGACTTCTGCAGGGGCTCTTCTGTTCCCTTTTTCTGACCCTTGTTAGCAACCTCTCTCTAGTCTAAGGGTCTCTCTTCCCGCCTTTAGTAACGTCCCATGTCTTGTCATTCTGACAGATGCGTCCCGCTTTCGCCTCTCCTGAGCCAGTGGACACCCCCTCCCCTGACTCTGCTTCCTGGGAAATAGAGGGATGTCATCACGGAAGACCCAGCACTTCATAGCCACGTGTCCTTAAGTACCCTGAGCTTCTGTTTGCCTTTCTGGAAAACATGGGTTGTGGTGGTTCTTCATTTGCTTCCCGGAAGAATACATGACAGAACTCAGCTCGACATGTGGCAGAGGTGTGATCACAGTTCCCGTCCCCACTACCGTTCTGCACCTCAGGGGCACCTCCAAGGCAGCTCCGTAGGAGGGGCCGAGGGGAGGCAAAGCAGAGGTGCAGCAGGGAGACAATGAAGCAAATAAAGCTTCATTGCATAATGTTTTATGAAAAATTGGGTATCATTCTTAACAAAAAAGAGAGAGAGAGTGGAGCTCAGGGAGACCGAGGGAGATGTTCCAGCCTCCGGGGCCGGGCCAGTCCTGCTCGGACGGAGCTTGAACACAGAAGGGCTGCCTCAATTAATGGCGTTGTCCCTGAGGGAGATAATGTTGAGGACTGACACCTCTCCTCTTCACCCACTAGGAAAATTCTGAAGATTGACCCAGCGAATAAGCAAATCACTTCTCTCCTTTACATTAAACCTTAAGGGAAACACAATAGGAAGACTCAGAACTGGGGAAGCCACTTCCCCTCACTGTTTCAGGTCTGGCTCTTCTCTCATCCCCAAGAGTGAAGCAAGAGCGTCTGTCAGTGGTTTGCAATGAATCTTTGGTTCCTGAGTGTTGAATTTGAGGAACCATTCTCTCATAGAGTGACTCGGCCCATTTCGAGAAGTGGTTCTAGTCTTGGCTGCCCAGCAGAATCACCTGTGACAACACCAAATGTCTGCATGTCTTCTTCAGTGGATTTGAGACGGGCCCGGGCCTCTGGATGTTAGAATCCACGGGGGGATTCTGATGTGCAACCACTGCTGTGAGGAAATTCTGAGAACTGCCTAAGACCCCCTCCTTGACCAAACTGTAGTCAGCCCTCTTCTTGATTAGGCCTCGACCTTGGCCTTCTGTGTCCTTCCTGTCTGCCGGGCCTGCATAGTCTAGTCTTAGCAAGAATCCTGCTGAGTCAGCATAGGAAGAATTCCCTCACCCTTGATATCTGGCCAAGTTCTTCACCTCCCACCTTGCATGTTATTTAAAAAAATGTATTCAGACACTTGGTAAAGACAGTAAGGAAAACTTTATTCAGGGGGACCACTGCCATGGGGTTCTACAGTCAGAGAGGAAGAGTAGACTCAAGTCCTAACACAACAAGGACGAATGGAAATTTATACCCAGGAACAGGGGGAGCGTCAGTGGATGGAAAGTTACTAAGAGGGGATATCAAGGGTGGGGGGTGTGTGGCTACATCAGTTTCAGAGGATCCTTGTTGAAAGGCGGGCCAGGGTGGGCAGATATGGAGGGTGGAGGATAAGGAATCTGATCAGATCTCAAGGGTGGGGGATGTTCACCAAAGTGACTCAGTGGGATTCTTGCTCAGCCTGGACTACATGGGCAGAGCCAATGGACTAAGCACAGAGCCCAAGAATGGAGCCTGGTCAGAAAGAAGACTCAGGAGGGGCTGAACTCAAGTTTGGTCAAGGGAGAGAGTCTACCAATGTCTAATAGGTTCTTGGCCAGCCTTTAGCAAGAATCCCCCCATCCCTGGTATCCCTTCTTAGCAATTTTCTATCTACAACCCTCATTCTGCTCAAAGGCTATAAATCCCCACATGTCCTTGATGAACTTGGAGTTGAACCCAATTCTCTCCCCTATTGTGATATTCTTGCAGTAGCCTTAAATAAAGTCTTCTTTAGTTTAAAAAGTGTCAGAATAATTTTTTTTTTAACAGAACCCAAAAGAAAAAATACTATCCTTCATCCAAACTCATAACATGAGAAGGAATGGCACTTAACATTCACAGTGACATTAATTCCGTGGATGAAGCATGCGGTTAGAAGAAAATCAAAATGTATGCTTGAGGGTGCTCTCAAGGAGTTTGAAGAGAGAATAAAATGGGCCAATCAATAATCAAAATAAGAATAGTGCTTTAAAAATGGGGTGAAATAATCTCATCAAAAGGTGCACATGGTTCATGATGAACAGTACGGATCTGATCATGGGGCAGAGAGGACTTTTTTTAAGTTTCTGATTTTTAATCTTCCTGACCCAGTACTTCTGCAGCTGAACAGCTAAGTAAGGAGTGGGAAGCCAGTGACCTCAGGCTACTCAACAAGGCTGCCTCTAGGCAAGAGATTGCCATGGGGCCAAATACCCCTCCTTACACATTCTTCTTCCAGGGGATACATCTGGGTCAGCAAAGCACTCTTTTGCAGGACAATTACCAAGGAGGTTCAAGAAACTGGTCATTCACAGCCTAGATCAGTACTTGTCCACAAGCATCTCCTGACTTAGTAAAGATGGCGGGGCTTTTTCTTGAGGGGAGTGGGGAACAGGAAAGTGGGAGAGAAGATAGGCTCAGGGGTAATCCAGATGGAGGCCCCCAGTTGGCAGTAGGAGGGCTTGGTCAGGCAGGGGGCCCAAGGGGGATCTGGCAATTCTGCCTGGGGTCCTGAGAAGCCCAGGATTCACCTAAAAAAAATAATGTCCTTTATTTTATGACATCCTTGCAAGACAACAGGTGGCCAATGCTAGAGTTGGAAAGTCAATACCAACCTTTTAATAGTTCACATAACAAGCTTTTAAAAGATCTGAATCAACACTTCCTATAAAGTTAATGTTATACACAATCACTCTCCTAATTCAGTGATTCCCAGCTGGTAGCAATTTAGCACCCCAGGGGACATTTGGCAGCGTCTATGGTTGTCTCGGCTATAGGAGTGGTCCTGGGTTCTAGTAGGTAGAGGTCAGAGATGTTGCTCAGCATCCTACAATGCACGGGCCAGCCCCCCACAACAAAGAACATCATGCAGGGGCTGAGCCCTATCCTGATCTGAGGGGGCAGCAGTGGACATTTCCTTCCTCAGTCCCTTGTTTTGAAAAAAGGACAACTGATTGTCTCTAGTAGCTTCCTGGGGCAAGAAGACACGAGACTACTTTTCTGGAGGAAGAGGGAGGAGGTGTATTCGCATGTGAGGGTGCGGTGGTATCCCAGATCATGCCCTAATCTTAAACTAACCTCATCATGTTCTTGGCCCTGGAGCATACACTTTGTTTTCATTTTTCTCAGATGTTTATGAAAATTTAATAACCCTAGCCCAACTTCTGCCATGTAGCTCAAACTCCTCTGTGTCTCTGAAAAGCAGCGACGAAAGGTCCCAACATGGCACTTCTTTCCACAGTGATCACCAGCCTGGTGGTCTCACAGCTGCCGGGGCTGGGAGCCTCAAATCCTTCCCTGAAAGCTCTGTGTGGGCAGAAAAAGCAGTTTCTCCTGTGCAGCCCATCTGCCTTCCAAAGGGGGAATACACAGTGCCCCTCGAGGAATGTTCTCTGCGTAGGAATGCCCATCATGGGACACCTCTGTGGTCGGTCACCACGCTAACTTGTTAAGAGAGCTGCCTCCTGTGTTCTAGAAGCAGGGAATCAGCATTTGGTGAGGGCACGAGAGAGCCGAGCAGGCGCCACCGCCTGGCATAGAGGGGCCAAGTGGGCTTAGCCCTCTCAAAGGCCTCTAGGTCCTGAAGATTAACCAGTTGGACTCACAGCCCATTTCAGCTCTCAAGAAGCCTGCAAAAGGCAAAAGCTGTAAGGACTCCATCAACATTCCCAAATACCCTTGTCTGGCAGTTCTCTAAGAATATTCCCAGGATAACATCAGCATCACCTGTAAACCCCTTAGAAATGTGAGTTCCTGGGCCCCACTGCAGACCCACAGCACCAGAACCTCTGGAGTGGGGCCAGACAATTCTGACGTAGGCTAACATTTGGGAGCCACTCCCCTAGTTGCTGGAAAATATCACAGAGAAGAAGAGGAGAGAACTTCACAGTGAGACCTTACGAAAAGAAAAGCTATACCATTTATTCACACCCAGTACTAGATAATGGACAGTTACTGAAATTCTGTTTTAAAAAAGGCTTCTGGTTTGTTCTTTAAACTGATTTAGATTTCACAGAGTCATGCAGAGCATGGCTTCATTGCAATAAAATCCCTGTGTTTATGAGGTGAGTGCAGGTATGTGGGCTGGAGTGGAGTTTCTGTCTTTACTGGTGCAGTGAGCTCTGGGGCCTGGACCCGTGGCCGCTGTAGAATGAAGCCTCAGTCCAGCCTTCATTGCTTTTTTGCTGTTCCTCCAATCAATATGTTCGCTATCTACCCTTGATGGCGTATGTTTGATACCTACCCTTTGGTATCTATACTGACCGGGGAGGGATGAAATGCCAGGGTGCCCGATGAAGGCCCCGATCCTTCAGTGCTATTGGGTGAAGGGTCAGTATGCCAACTCTTCATCAAGAAAAGATAACACTGTAACCTACAGGACACCGGGGGAAGGCTGTGATCGTAGGTCGTTCAACCTGTTTTTCTGGGTAACCTTCCATTTGTCTTCTTCTGTCATGCCCTCTATGTACTCGCTCCCTTTCTTTTACTCAGCATGGTGTACCAAAATGGGGCCAGAACTGGGGGAAGACTGTGAAGAACTGCACTGGGAGAAAGGTTTTCATGGCCAATAGATCCTAAACAAAATTACCTTTCAGGTCGGCTTGAAGCAAGACAAAACCTACCTCCCTGGGGCCCTTTGGCTGTATCGTGGTTATAAAATCTCCCAAATGATGGCCAGTGTCATTGATCTACATCATCTTTCTTTGGGTCCCAAAGGCCCTGACAACTAACAGTACACAAATGTCCACCATTCATTCCACCCATATCGCCATCAAGGCAACCTCATCCATTTTCTGGAGACTATCCTCTTGGAAAGGTCATTGTGGGTGGGAGAGTGGTCATGGAGGATGTTGCTAAGTGACGGCCTTACCTTGAGGTCCCTGTGGACAATGCCCATTCTATGGAGATAGTAGACAGCATCCAAGACTTGGCGGATCAGAGTGCTGGCATCTTTCTCTGTGTAAAATCCTTTCTCCACTATCCGATCAAACAGCTCTCCGCCGGATACACTGTTTTGTTTTGTTTTTTTAAAAAAAGAACAAATAAGAAATTTGAGGGACCTGAAATTGTTCAGGGAAAGCCATCAATAAGAGATTTCAATATGACAAAAGAACCAAACTTTATTTCCAAATAAATTCCTTTTCAGATTTAAGTTTTGCCCCATGGATTCCCCAGAAGCTATACCAGGGAAGCGTTTCTATGTCATGATGGTATGAGTATCCAGAATGGAATAAAGGCAATACAAATAAACCAGGGCTCATGGACTAGCCAGGATTGAGAAGTCTCTTCTGGCCTTTGCTTCCAACCTGCTATGACAATGTAAGGTCAGAACAACTTTCTAGAATATTGGCATCATCAGATACAGGGAGATGATGGATAGAATGCCTCCTTCACATAAGGAATTATCCTTAAAGGTCTGGAGGGTAGGGAGAATGGGGGGCAGTATTGTGGGCAAAGCAATGAATAGCCACAGGAATGTTTGGGTTCTTGACCAAGTTCTGCTCCTAATATGGTGAGGGCATGGGCGTTCCTTGAATCTCGGACCTCAGTCTTTTTATCTGTAAAATAAAGGGGTTAATCTAGTCAACCATATCCAACAGAAGGTAGGGGCATGCCCTCGGAGGCATCAGAACCTGAAAGCCAATTGTGATTTACAAAAAAAGGAAGAGGAACAACACTCCATTACCTTAACACTGATTTTTGGTGATATTTACTTTTAATTTGTTTTGAAATTCATGCTGCACTATACGTTTTCTTTGTGTTTATTGTGTTTGTTATTTATTGTATTTATTGTCTAGATTGGCAAAGGTCAAACAAGCCCAGGTGGACAGCCCCCAGAGCCCCATTCAGCTCCGATATTTGCTGTTGCTTTGAGTTTAGCAAAGTAACAGAGCTGCACAAATCTAACTTGGAACAATCCCCCAGCCTAGCCTTCCAACCCGCAGAATATATACTCCTCCAAGAAACACAGTGCTTCTTTCAAATAATTACGCCATCTTGGAAATCAGCTTCAAGGGATATATTAACACCATTTTCCTGTATAAAAAGAGAATTCCGAAAAACAAAATGAAGATGATTTATTTGAACTACTAAAATCATAAAACGGCTTCCCAAACAACTTTTACAGCTTTCATAGATACAGTAAAAGACATGCCCTAGCAGTAACACACATACACACACACGCAGCTCTGAATCATTTGCGGCAAGTCATGGCAATTAATAGGCAATAGCTGATCCACCAAAACCTTCCTTTTAAAAAACCAATAAAGAAAACCAGTTGCGGCTTTAAAAGGCCTAGGTGTTCAAGTGTCTCCCATTACCGAGAGTCATTCTAAGCGATGTTGTGCTTGGATAATGTCTTGTTTCCAAAGCAAACTGAGCAGTCAAGATAAGGAAAGGAAAGACGTTCGGGAGCAATAAACAATTCAGAGAGTGAAAAGAAATGGAGACATCAGGGCGAAACATCTTTTGATGACCAGGTTGTCTAAATGGTCCATCCTTAAGTAAACCCAGATCCCAAGACCTCCCCCCCTCAGCAGCAGGACATCAAGCTCTCACCAGGCTTCATGTTTTCAGATCCTTCTTGCCATGAGTTCCAGTGGAAGAACTCTGTAGACCTTGAGGGTCTACTACAGAACCTGTGTGTGTTCACTTCAGTTGATCATCTCTTCAAGCATTCATTTAAGACTCCCTGGGTGCCCACTAGGGGCCACCTACCGTGCCCTGTGGGTGCCAATCCTGGCAGCATTAGCTCTGAAGGAGGAAAGGTCTGTTTGGATTCTGCCCCTCTTCCTCCTCCGCCGTCCACCCACATTCCAATCATGGCACCCCTTCCAAGGGCTCCCGCGCTTTCTTACCACTGATCTGCCTGCCGCTCACATCCTCTGTTCTGCAGCCTACTGGAAGAGCTCAGGCAGGAATGCTCATCCCCTGACTGCCCCCACCTCCCACCCTGAGTACTCTATGACCCACCTTTACCAGATTCTCTCCCTCCTTCAAAACTGATCTCTCCTGCTTCCCATTCTCTCAAAGATCACATCTCCTATGTGATCTATAAGGTATTAATAGATCTTATTGAAGCAAATATTTGTCCTCCGATAGGGCAGCTATGCAGTAAGAACTGAAGCATCAGAGTTGAAGTGTAATTGTAACTGTAGTACGTTCTGTCACGGTCTCCATGCTCCGCACATTTGATATTTCAGTTCTGAAATTTCAAATTGCACCAGGGCTTTCTTCTGAACAGGGCTCAGAAAGTATTCGGTTTCTTTAGAAACCAAGGCAGAGGGGAGAAGTCAAAAAACTTGCCAATAAAAAAAAAAAATGTAAGGATACTCATAAAAATGCCTTAAAATTTGCAAATCACTGTATACTTTTCAAAAATCTCCTTAAGCATACATTTCAAATGGCTACTGTTATGTACTAATAACTGTTTATGCCCCCTCCCATATTCATGTGAAACCCTAAGCCCCAGTGTGATGGCATTTGGAGATGGGGTCATAGGCAGGTATTTAGGTTTAGATGAGGTCAGGAGAGTGGGGCCCTCATGGTGGGATTAGTGTCCTTATAAGAAGAGAAATCAGAATCCAGTCCAGTTCTCTCCTCTCCTCTCCCTCCCTCTCTCTCTCTCTCTGCCATGTGAGTACACAGTAAGGAGAAGGCCATCTATAAGTCAGGAAGAGTCCTTAAAAGGAGTCAAATCAGTTGGCACCTTGATTTTGGATATGCCGGACTCCAGAACTGTGATGTCTGTCATTTAAGCTGCCCTGTTTCTGGTATTTTGTTATGGCAGCCTGAGCTAAGACACCCACTTATTTTGAAAACCATCTGTGAACCACCAGAATCCCAGAATCACTGATGGGAATGTAAGTTTAGAATTGTGGTGAGGGGTGTGACTCATTTTCAGGCCTGCAGATCATGAATAGGTCGGGTGGTTGGCTGCTGAGCTGACTGACAGGTTGCTTTCTTCAATCAATAACCTTTTACAGCACGTTTCCCAAGTGCATGGTTTACAGCTCCACGTTAGAAATGGAGTACCCCAATGAGAGCAGGCCAAGCACTGGGACAGAGTTAGAAGGGTCAGGGGTCAGGTGATGGGGAAAAAGGAGTAGAACCATCATGACAGATCAACAAATAAAATTAATTAATGGTGGCTATGGGAGAGAGGTTCATTGGGGGGGGTGTAGATGTAGAAAGAAACTGGCTATTGGGGTGCCTGGAAGGCTCAGTGGGTTAAGCATCTGACTCTTGGTTTCAGCTCAGGTTGTCATCTTATGGTCATGGGATCGAGCACCATACCAGGCTCAGCAGAGTCTGCTTCAGATTCTCTCTCCCTCTGCCCCTCCCCTCCTCTCTTAAATAAATAAATTAAATTAAATCTTCAAAAAAAGAAAGAAACTAGCAATTAAAGAGGAGAGGACAGACATCATTCAAAATTCTCTATTCTTCTTAATTTAAACTTTTCCATTAATTTAGAACAACCTGTTTTTGCTTTGAACTTGGGTTTGCTCAGTCTCTGATCTTCCATGTCTATTATATTGTCCTGCTATCCCTGCATGTGAATTTTAAATATGCAAATATGAAATCTCAACAAAATTTCAGTTTATTTGTAAAATTTTAAGTAGTGCAATTCTCTTCAAATTAAAGAATCATTGTCAAGAAACATAATTTCAACGCTGCTGGATCAAGTACACGGTAAGTTCTGATTCCACCACAGCATACCGCGACATAACCGAGTCAGCATACCATGCACCCACTGTTAGTACTGGGTAGACCAAGCCATTCTTTACATGCACTTGAACTTCTCCATGCAGTTTCCATAGATGTTATCCCCTTGTTTTAAAATTCACTGCTAAGTATAACTTAAATTTTTTTTATCTTACAACAATATATACACATTCATTAAAAGATAGTACTTGTGCTAATGCTGAAAAATGGGGTCCAAAAACCTGCTCCTCTAGAAGATAGGTATAATAAAATATGAAGAAGGCTGCAGGAAACCAGAATATGTCACCCCAAAATATGCCTCCTTGACATAAAATTTACTTTGAGCTGCAAGCAATTAAGAAGCAGTAAATGCAAGAAAAATATTCCCCCTCTTTTGTCTAAAGGCAAGAAATAAGTTCTCCTTTTACTGGAGATAGACTCTATCAGTTCACAGACTGCACCAGGGAATGTACAAACAAACCTCATTCAACTAACCTTTTAGCTCCCTAGACTCCTCACCATTTACCATCCCTGGCCCAAACCCCTCTGCATTGTCAATTCTTCACAAATTTATTGTTTGTGTAAAAGGTATAGAAGCTTCCAGCTCTGATCACTCCACCCAGGTCTTCGTTCTCTGGGGAAGGATCCCAAGTAACTGCCAAACTTCATTAACACGTGTGTTTTCTTCCCACTAATCTGTCTTCGTCCGTTTCATCTTCAGAGCTAGCCAGGGACCTGACAAGGGTCAAGGAAAACTTTTTTCTCCCTCAAAGGCCAAACGGTATAAGGCTGTGCTGTTAATTTTAGAGAGCAGTCTGAGAAATATTAGCAGTAATGCTGAGATAATAAAAAGCAATGTTATAGCAAATATGCCTTGAAATTTACAAAGACCGCTGTTACCTAACTAGACAGCGATGGCAGAAAAGAGCTGGGGACACGGCTACGAAGCAAGGTGGCCTTTATGTGCCCCAGAGCAGCGCTAGTTATAAATGTTTTTTTCCAGAACCATCTCCCCCATTCACATGTAGTCCTAAGAGGAAGGATGAAATATGCAGGATGTGATTGAGAGAGGCTGCAAGCGAAGCATTTTCACCTGTGAGACCCCCAAGGCCCAGATGGCAGAGGTGTGTATTTTTTCACCGAGCCTGGAGAAAGAAAGGGCCCGTCTTCCCAGTTCTTTCCTCAATGAGATCCCAACTCTGTGGTCTCTGGGATTTCCCTCCTCCCACACAGGGCAGCCGCCCAGCTCCGGGGCCTGTGTTCTTAATCCTCATAGCTTCCCTTGGCTTTGGCACCCATGCACCCT